TCCCTCCATCCCCCCCAAATCTGTAAGGACAGTGTGGTCAGGATTAAGGACAGAGTCACTCTATCTAGTTAAAAAAAAAAAAATCACTGTGACTGACTTGGTTTCACTATCATGTCAGCCTCAGGCTGGTGGCTGTCTCCTACACATCCTGATGCTCAATTACTTTGTTCTTGTGCTTGGTGGAGGGGAACTTAGCTTCACGTCACCTTTGTGGTCCGGAGCCAGCCCTGGGTGCAAGTTAGAGCAGCCTCAAGGGCCTCTATGGCCCAGGTAAGAAGTGAATAGCTATAGTGTACCGTTCTCTTGCCACAGCCCTGCCACATCTTTATGCTGGGGGAGGTGGTAGGGAGACCTCTACCAGCCACGGAGGCCCTGTAGTGTTTTCAGGGAGGCCTTTTAAGATAGCTCCACAGAGCAATATAAAACGACCTTGTTGTAACTGAGAACTAGGCCTCCTATTTTTAACCCTGCCATTGGCCAGATGGTCTATAGCTTGCTGTGCCTATGAATGAGGCTCAATGATGCCCTATCATGGATGAGCTCAAATGCCACAGGTAGGGGCACAACGTAAGTGAGATTAGCTAGAAAGAAATGAATGTGAGATAGTTCGAGAGAATCTGTTGACTTTCTAGGGCAGGGTTGTCTACATTTTTGCTGAGCCAAGGCCCATTTACCAGGAGGCCCCACTTAATTTGACATATAATGGACTAGACTGCAGCCATGGAGAACAACAGGCCCAATTCCAGCATCACATACACAGGTGGATTCCTGCTCCAGGCCATGGGAGTCACCCTCCCCCGTATGTGAAGTCTCCACTGATGCCCAAGTGTGATACCCCAGTGTGTTCTGGGCAGCGAAGCTCCTCAGCTCACGGTCTAGCGTTGTGGGGTGGGATCTGCATTCTCCACGGGGCCCCCCACCCTCACATTACACCACCCATTCATCCTGCCTTACTACCTCCTTTGTCTCTCCCTTGCTGAATTTTTCCACACTGCCCCCTATGCTTGGAACCCCTCCTGCATCCAGGCCCCCCCATTCCTTGCCTTTCAACACACCCTCCCCGCCTCCTCACAGCCTCTGGGAAGCCCACACACGTCATCCAACTCTGTATATCAAATCTAAACCACTCAAATGGTGTCATTTTGTACTGACCCCAGGGTTAAATCCTTGGGGGAGGGTTCACATCCCCCTCCTCTGATTTGTTGCTGTACTGGATGCTGTACGAGGCAGAGAGAGAGAAATTCACTGCCGCAATCAACGCTTGATAAAGAAACATGAATCAGGGACCAAAGATACATGAGCACCCGCAAAAGATTGGCCTCGTTCGGTTCTGGATCTACCTTTTCAGTGAAATTTTTCTCTCTCCCCCTTCATAATCGTCTTTCCGCACTAGACTGTCGGGGTTGCTCCACACTGCACAGAAAAGGCCTGCGGTAGCAAGTCTCAGAGCCCAGGTCAACTGACTTAGGCTTTCGTGGCTCACACTATAGGGCTAAAAATATCAGTGTCGATGTCTGGGCTCGGTCTGGAGCCCAGACTCTGAAACCCAGCAAGGGGGGATGGGTCTCAGCGGCCAGGCTCCAGCCTGAGCATCTATGCTGTTATTTTTAGCCCTGTAGCAGGCGCTCAAGTCAGCTACCTGGGTTCTGAGACTGACTGCTGCAGGTCTGCCGGTTTTTGCAGTGTAGACATACTCTATGTCTGTTCCTTTCCCTCTCAGATTTAGCAACGCTCTCAGTGCACTTACAATGAAATTTACCCTTGTGCAGAGGTTCCACAGAAGCCCTATGCATTGCTTAAGTCCTCAAGGGTGGACATAAGTGGTGCATAAGCCTCATGCTGGGCCTCTTAACTGGGCTGAATAAATAACAATGGCGATCATTGCTCAAGTGTGAGTTGAGAAGATATAAAAACCCAACATACACTGACGGGTCTGAGGCCATGGACCGTGGTCATCAGGAGATTTATGGTCGTGGAGGGTAAGTGTGTATTTCAAAGCTAGTCTGATTGTTGGGTTCCATCCCAGCATGGAAATAGCAACATGCAGATGCACTAGGAGGGTATTGCTCAATCCCCCCAGTTTTTGTGCAATGTTCTCTCTTGGGAGTAAACTGGAAAGCTCTGAACTATAATTAGACCCACGATGCCCTGCAAACAGGGCCAGGGTTGCATGCGCCCAGCTGAAGGACCGTGAGTTTTTGTCTGTGCTTATCAGCTGACTCTGAATGCTGAATTCTCACACTCCACTGTGTAGGCCCAGGGCCAGCGCTTCCACTAGGCGACCCTAGGCGATCACCTAGGGCGGCAGGATTTGGGTGGCGGCATTTTGCCATCCCTGGCGGCAATTCGGCGGCGGGGGTCCTTCTGCTCCGCGTCTTTGGGGTGCTTCGGCGGCGGGTCCTTCACTTGCTCCGGGACCCGCCGCTGAAGCACTCCGAAGACGTGGAGCGGAAGGACCCCCACCGCCGAATGCTCTGAAGAGGAGCGCTGCTGCCTAGGGCGGCAAAAACCCTGGCGCCGCTCCTGTGTAGGCCTACAGTGTTCCTACGGGGACATGCCACAGTCATTGTGTGATTTCTCTGAGCTGACATTCCTTTGTCAGTCACGGGCACTTCCTGGATGTGCACTTTGATAAGCAGCTAATGAGGCCAACCCCACAGATTTCTTTTTAAAATCCCATTTGAAACTAGCCTACATCAAGTTAGCATGACTTACAAGGTGTGACGGTCACTTACATTACATCAATTTATTTATAAATTCACCTTTATGATAGCTTGAGAATGAGTCATTAGCAACATTTACACCTCACAAGACCACGGAAGCCGAGCTATTTCAAATGCCATTTTGGCGGAGCTTCCGAGGAAGTGCACATGCAATATTCTTCAAGGCATGGCCATTGTGTGCTTCTGCAATGCACTGTAAAGCCATCTGGCTGGACCTGCTGTGAATAGAGCCCTTTGTTTTGGCTAGTACCGCATTCAGCTCAGCCTCTCCACAACTGAAGAAATGCCGAGATAGCATGTTAAGGTCATGGACAGGCACTGGCAATACAGAAGGAATTGTTTGAAGGAATGATCGGTGCAACTGGCATGCGCATCTGCACCGAGTCACACTTTAAATCATGCCCTAAATATACCCCCAATCCTGCATTCCTTACCCGCCCCCCATTGGAGTCCATAGGCGCTGCCATTGTGCAAGGGATGCAGGATCAAGTCTTAAATGGTTTCTGTTCAAAGTGTGGGCTAAATTCATTTCTCCAAGGTACGCTGGATATCTCTGCCTCAGGCCTGGTCTACACAGGGGGAAGGGAGGGGAAATCGATCTAAGTTACACAACTTCAGCTATGTGAATAACATAGCTAAAGTTAACATACTTAGATCTACTTACCGCCGTGTCTTCCCTGTGGTAAGTCAACGGCTGACGCTCTCCCGTCGACTCCGCCTGCGTCTCTCGCCCTGGTGGAGTACCAGAGTTGACGGGAGAGCGCTCGGCGGTCGACTTATCGCGTCTAGACTAGACTCGATAAATCGACCCCCGCTGGATCGATCACTGCCCGCCGATCCGGCGGGTAGTGTAGACAAGCCCTGACGTCAGCATCCTGGATGTCAGTGAAAGTTCTTTGCTTGGAGTGATACTTTATGCAACAGTGAGCCACACTATGGTGTGAGAAGAATGCTCCCCGAAGCCTTTGGAGTCAATAAAATTTCTTGGCAAATCATTTCCTCATCACCACACTTTGAACAAAAGCAAAACATTTAGTCACTTAACCACCAAACAGAATAAAAAAAGAAGCATCTGAGACCCTGTCCAGTATACACGGTCTGTATGGAATAACACAGAGGCAATTTACCATTGAGACCCTTAATTTAAGCACCTAAAAGCAGTATTTATGTTACTTGCTTTTTAAAGCATTTGCACCATCCACACCACAGAGCATATTATACTGCTTTCTGACGCGTCACCGCTAACTTCAAACTCCCCTTTCTGGTTATAGTTCATCATTCCTTCACTTAAAGACAATGGGTTTTAAGCTTGTGCTCTATATTCTGTTAGGACTTAATGATCTCTTGGGAGATGAGAAAATGCTTCGTAAAAAGAAAGTTGGGACAGTGAGTTCATCAGGGAAAACCCTGTTGAATTCGAATACCCTGGCCCTGCCAGGAGAAGGTATCCCAAAGACTAATGTGTCTAAACTAGAGGCTGAGAGCAAGGCCAGAGATGTGAACTTTGAGAGACTTCAGAGTCAGATGAGAACTTCACAAATTTGCCCGTGACAATACCAGGTCCAGACTCTCCAGAATGTTGGGAAAGTTCAGATCTGAAAAACTAGGACCAAATTAGAGCCATTCCTGATCTAAACTATTGAATCATTACAGAAGATAAAGGGCAGGTAGCCAAAACCCAGTCGTCATTAGTATAACTGTTTTTTGAAGAGGTCTCTATATATGAGATACAATATGAAGCGCTTTTTCTTCCCTTCTCATCAAGAGCTAAATTGCTCATTTCCATATTCCACAGGATGTTTTGCATCAGTTATTTCTAGCCATTGACCATGTTTACAGACTGTCAAGCACACCATATCTTTGGGATGTGCCATTAATGTTTTCAAGTCAATCATCAATACCCTGTGAAAATGCTACTTATGGAATACAGCCAAATTTGTTTCACAAAGCATTCTGGACCACTTTGGACGGGGTTGTGTTATTATTACAAGTTAGCACAGACCCAGGGGCATCCTGGTGCACATCATTCAGAGTCTACGATGTTGACAACATGCGCAGGTATTTGTGGTATTTCTTTACCTAATGTAGTGAGCTACACAAAATGGTGACCCATGGAAGTGTAGCCTATGGACAAGCATTAGGTAGTGCTGGAAACAAGAGCCCCACATCGCCTACCTAGAGAAGTGCAAGGTTTGTTTTTGCTATGGTTCAGCAGCTTCTATGTGACGTTTGCCGCTGACTTCTTGGCTTCCAATAGGATTAAGTGAAGGACTTTTTTCTAATTTTCTTTTATTATTTTTTAAACATTTCAAATAAAACTATCTTGTGTTGTAAACATAATCTCATTCCTTGGGTCTGCTCCGACAGTCCCAGTTAAGGTTTATGCTTGAAATGGGCTTCCACTGAAATGAAAAAAAAACAAACCAAAAATGACAATACAATGGATGTTAGAACACGGGTTATCACGCAACCCTTTGGGATCCAATCCACCGGCCGGGCTTAGCTTTGAACGAGTGGCCGTAGGGGCTCGTCGTAACTACAGAATGTTGTTGTGTTAGAACACGACTGCAAAGAGTCGTGTTCACCATTGCGTCAGCTGGTCGTGGCTAAACCCTGATCCCAGAAGCATTTACTGATAATCGGCTCCCAAGATACTGAACACGACACATCCTTGACTACACTGATCTGTCAGCACTTAACTTGATTGTTAAAAATCAGGTTTACGCACACTTAAGTGGATTCCCATGAAAGGTTCCTTATAAACTATTTTTTTAACTTCAACTGAATGCCGTGTTCATAAAGGTGCCGGAGAATGGGTAGAGCATAATAGAGCTTCCCCTATGCTGCCCCTAGCAATGGGCCTCCACTCTGGACTGGCAGCACCACCTCCAGGGTAGGTTTCCTCAGCCTGCCGATACTGTTGATAGGGGTACCACTTTCAGGTGGTGGTGATGGGGATGGTTATTACTACAGTAGCAGATAAAGACACCAACTGTGATCAAGGCCCGATTGTGCCCCACTGTCCATACACATAGGGAGAGAAAGCCCCTGCCCTGAAGAGCTTACAATCCAAAAAGACAAGGAGACAAAGGATGGGACTAAGGGACTGCTATTGTCCCGTTGATGTGGACACCTATCTACTAGGAATTTGACACATTTTGCATAAGCTACTGAACAGGCAGCAGATGGTAAGGACTTCCCATGCAGACTGGGTTGGATTTAGAGGTGGAAGGCTCTCTCTCTCCTTCAGTCTCCCCATTCTCTAATGTATGGTGGATAAATGGAGGCCTTAATTCTCCAGGGGTCTCAGTCTGGCAGGGTAACTTACCTGCATATTCCTGAGGCAGCATCGGCCTGCTTATGACTTTCTGAAAAGCTGTAATCCATTCTTGCTGATCACTTTCTGTCTCACAAGCAAAGAGAAATTTTCTGTCTGGGGTCACAATGGTTATCCCATACTGCCAGTGATTTCCCTGGGTGGATGGTGGGAGTCCTTCCAGGACCTTGTAGCTGTTTTCCTTGCTCCCAATAAATACTTCCCCTCTAGCAAAGGCATCCTACAAGATATAAATAAATGATTCAGAGCCCTTTCAAAGTGCCTTGTCAAGGTGATGTGGAATATGGATCACGCAGCAAACTAACATTAGTGTTCTCCCTGCAGAGCCTCCAGCACTCACATCAACAGAAAACAGTGAGAGAGGCCTACGAATCAAATTCCCAAGGTCAAACACCCGCAAAGATTAGAGGTGTTTGAAATCCACCAGATTTCAGTTTTGCAAATACTGTAGTTCCTACTTAATAATGAGCCAAACCAAGCCCCTGGATTTCCAACCATTTAACCTGCACGTTCCTAGCTGCATTTTAAACTTTTCAGCTTGATATTTTTCTAGCCTGCAAGATAGAACTCTCTCTCTCTCTCTGGTATATAATCGTTGGTGTCATTAATTCCAGTGAAATGGAAACATTGCATGTACTATTATAAAGGTCTGACTATGTGGCAATTAGTCTCTTACCAGACCTGTCAGTCAAGACAAAAGAGAAAAAGGTGGGTGGCCAGTTGCTTAGAACATGAGATTAGGAGCCTTGAATTCTAATCTCAGCTCTGCCATTGATTTGATATGAGGCACTCATCAAGTTACTTAAATCATTGTTGGCCCAATTCTGATCACACACTGGAATAAATGAGAAGTGACTCCAGTGGAATGAGATCAGAATCAGGCCCTTTGAGGGGATAATAATCATCATGCCTACGCTGGAAGGATGAGGTGAAGATGAGTGTTTTTACAGTGCTTTGAAAGGTCCCATGGTCAACATTAAAATCTTTACAGCTTGGAGTTTGGTATAAACATCTGTCTAACTATCTTAAGTTCTTACGTGGGCCCCATTCCCATAGTATTTCAGCACCTCACTATCTTTAAAGTATTTATCCTCACAACACGTCTATGAGGTAGGGCAGCACTATCATCCCCATTTTACAGATGGGAAACTAAAGGTATGTCTACACTGGATCTGGAGGTGTAATTTCCAGCTGTGGTACACAGACCCCAGCCAAAAAGAGCAGTGTAGTGGTGGGACAGGCTAGCCCCAGGGCTGGATTTAGGGGCAGGTGACCCAGACGACCGCCTGGGGTGCCGGGTTTGTGGGGCGCAGGGCTGGCAGATTTACAGATCCTAGCGTGCAAATTTATCGTTTTAAGGACAGGGATAAATTATGCAGGCAAATCGTGCATGAAAGTCATGAAACGGGCTACAAATGCAATAAAAAATTAAGGTATTCAAAAGTTTAACAAATGGAGGGGGGGAACGCCATTTGGTCTAAGGCTACCCCCAAGTACAATCCCATCTAAAGCCTTATGCATGTACGTAGTCCTGCTGCTTGCACTGCTGCGGCTACACTGCTACGTTTAGCGCACTAGCTCGATCAGAGCTAGTGTGGGTATGTGTACCTGAGCCAGCTCCAGTGTAGACATACCCCAAGGAATAGGGAAGCTAAGTGAATTGCACAAGGTCAAACAATAAGCCTGTGGCACAGCAGGTCTCCCAAGTCCTAGCTTAGTGCCCTAGCCATGGCCCATCCTTCCTCTCAGTGGTAATATTAATTAATACTGTGACTACCACGGCAACGTTAATTACTAGCAATGATTTTAGTTTGGGATTTTCAAAGAAGCCTCATGGAGATAGGGACCCAGTGGAACTGGGCAAGTGACTCCCCTGAAATCCTTTACCAATCCCAGCCCCAATGGCAACAAAGCACAGAAAAGCCCTGCAAAAGAGCCGAGGGAAAGAAAAATCTGGTGAATGAAATAAAGGTCAGGAAGGGGGGAGGGATAGCTCAGTGGTTTGAGCATTGGTCTGCTAAACCCAGGGTTGTGAGTTCAATCCTTAAGGGGGCCACTTAGGGATCTGGGGCAAAATCAGTACTTGGTCCTGCTAGTGAAGGCAGGGGGCTAGACTCAATGACCTTTCAAGGTCCCTTCCGTTCTAGGAGATAGGATATCTCCATTAATTAATTTATTTTATTTTACTAGATGACCTCCTAAGGTCCCTTCCAACCCTGATAGTCTATGATTCTAAGGGACTCGTTTACAGCCATTTAAATAGGGGTTCATGGATGTTTCCGTGACTAACTGCGAACCAGGCTATTGTGCACTGGGCTTTGGACCAAAGTCAAACAACCTACCCCAAGTATTTTCACTTTATTCCCAAATTAGACCAAACTCCATTACAGGCTATTCCGTGCAGACGCGCGCTGAGATCCAACGCCCTGGCCTTACCAGAGGATCTTTGAAATACATCAGCCTTCGGTCATCCATGGTGAACCATCGCTTCTTGAAACCTTCTGTTTGCTAAAGAGTTGGGAGGGAAAAAAATGATTGAGCAAAGGCAAAGGGAAACCTGGCTCGCTTCTAAGGAGAGAAGTTGAGGGAATTTATGGGGCGCTGGTGTCGTTCAAGGTACATCTCTACCCTGATATAATGCTGTCCTCGGGAGCCAAAAAATCTTACTGCATTATAAGTGAAACCGCGTTATATTGAACTTGCTTTGATCCACCGGAGTGTGCAGCCCCGCCCCCCCCAGAGCACTGCTTTACCGCGTTATAGCCGAATTCATGTTATATCGGGGTAGAGGTGTCGTTCTGGTGGGAGAGACGTACTCAGCCAGTTCAGAAAGGGCCGGTTCCACATTAACTTAAGGGCAGAGTGGCTATTATCTGCCAATGGGTGATAATACTTCCCAGCACAACAGGACCATTCATTTCAATGGGAGTTTTAGGGAGGGAGAATTGACAGGCTAATCTGTCAATTGTTTTAAGATACATTTATAACCCCCTCCTCCACCACTCAGCCTGTGCCTCCCCACACCCTGGCACTGCTGTCTCACAGTTCCTCCTTATCAACATTTCCCACACCGGGGGTCTTTTAGGTACCGCATTCGCCGCTTTACAAATGTGTGAAGTCATTAGATTCAGGGGGGAAAAATGACCCCTATGCACCTTATGATGAACAAATGCCTTGGGACGTATGTTTCAAGGAGAAAGAGACACCATCTTAGCACAGCTTTTGTGTGGCTACAATCTGCAGTTTGACCAGCTGCAACCTCCTATCCCACAGCCCCTGATTTTCCAAAGTAAATAGATTCAGGGTCTCATAGCAACAGAGCTTACTGAAGTTCCGACCTCAAGAGAAGTTGTAGAAAAGACCTGAATTTCTCATACGAAAAGCAAGCAGAACCCTCAAATGTTGTGCTTTTGGGGCAGAGAGTGTGTGTGTGTGGGGGGGTGGGGAATGGAAACCACTCAAGGCCATATTTGTACCTTATAGAGAATTAAAAAAAAAAAAAAGACATAAACCAGTTTTTTCCTCAGTGCAGGTTGCCTTTAAGCTTTTTTACCTCCCTCCTTCCAGCTCCTCACGCTCCGAGAGCTGTTCCTCCCAGCCAGTATGTCAATGCCATTCCTCTAATAGCCAGAAGAGTGCTGGAGAATGGCAGAAGATGCTTCCTCCATTCCAACTCCAGAGCCTCCAGCACCCGGCCAACCCAGGAGTTTGAGATCCCTAGATTGTAGCACAGGCAGTAAAGGGCCAGGCTACTGGCCTCATTAATTTCAGTGGATTTGTCACCATTAGTCAATTCACCAGCTGATCCCACTGAATTCTAGAAGGTCTGGAAAATCTCATGATTGGCTGGTGTTTTGATTGGATTAGCAGATTTCTAAATTGGTCCAGGTATGTCATGGCCCTTGCAGCTCTAAATCTCCAGCAGGGTTTGTTTGTTTAGGGTAGGATTGTGCTTTTTCTTGGAATGCCCCATTTACCTCTATTAGACATGAAGACAGGGCATAGGTGCCGATTCTGTGAGTGCTGGAAAAAAAAATAGTGGGTGCTTAGCACCCACCAGCCACAGCTAATCAGGGGTGCCACCAAACAGCTGTTTGGCGGCTCGGGAAGGGGCTTGCGGGAGGCAGAGAGCAGCGAATGGTGCGTGGGCAGAGCCTTGGGGAGGGGATGGGCGGAGCCTCTGGGAGGGGGTGGAGCAGGATGAGGCGGAGCAAGGGCAGGGACTTGGGGGAGGGGGTGGAATGTTGACAGGGCCTCGGGGTGGAGTGGGAGTGGAGCACCCCCAGAGAAAAGTTCAGCGCCTATGAGACAGGGCTTTTCTAAGCGAAGTGCTGTTTGAGAAGCCTCATCACTCAGTCATTTGCAGAGTGCTATAATGGCTGGAGCTGACACTGAAGGCAGCTTGCTCTTCAAGTGTGCAAGTCACCAGGATTGATGGCAAATGCCTGTCCTTGAAACAAGAGACCCAAAGCATAGCCTGGAGGTCAAATGTGGCCCTCAGAGTTCTAGAAAGCAGACCTTGGCCATCCTTATCTTTAACAGGGAGCTGCACCTTGCAGATCCCAGCATGGATGTTCTCAACCCAGCCATCCACGTGCATCGAGTTGTAGAATTGCATGCTGGGATCTGTAGTCTCCAGAGACCTCAGCTCTGTATTATATAAGTGGATGGCTGCAATCTGCTCCATGTCACGCAAATTATGCATTTTATGAAGCTCTCTGGCTGTGCCCATGCAGCTCTCAGTTGAGCTAATTACAGGTGTCCCAGTCCTATAAGGGCTGATCACAGAATAGACATCAGAAGGAAACAAAAATGACCATAACCAATTTATCTGGCCTTGATTTCTGAAATATTTCTGTTCTGACAACTACAATCTCTTGCTTCCTCCTCCTCCCCCCCCCGCTTTAAAATGAAGAAAAAGAATTTAAAAAGATAATAAGAAACAGAGTTCCACAATGTTAAAGAAATGCTCCTGCATCTAAAAAGATGGATTCAACCTCCACCCACTAAATGCTGCCCGACACTTAACCGGGCTATATAAGGAGATCCTCTGTAGCTGTTTAGTAAGACAGGCCCCATAACATGCAGCAGCTGTTAGGGGAACTAGTCATAAAAAGAATAGATGTAAGTCATATAAATCAATGGTACGTACATTACTACGATCCAGGGCCTGCCATAAATTATGGCATCCTCCTTTTCACACAGTGGTTTTTAAGGTTTTGTTTACACACAATAGTTGCACCACTTTATATCAGTTAAAGCGGTACTGGTACCTGGCGTCTATGCAGTGATACTGGTATCAGAGTGCTTATACTGATGTAGCTTATTCCAGTAAGGGAAGGGGAATAAACGTTATAGGTATAAGGCACCTTTATACTGGTATAACTGTGTCCACACTAGGGGTTGTACCAGTATAATGGTAAAAAAATCCCACCCCTAAGCGACATAGTGATACCAGTACAAAAACCAGGTGCAGATCAGGCCTAAAGGTTTTTTCATGCATAGATGACATTTGCCACTATGAAGAAGGCCAGCACGAGGTCTATGCCTACTGGGCTTAAGCAGTGTTTACGCCATGTGCTAGCTCTCTGCATGGGGATGAATTTCACCCATGTATGAAGAGATGATTATACTGTTCAAAATGCTCCTCCTTCACCTGATTGTGTCCCCACTGCAGCTGTGCACTCCTGTGTTAATGAATTTGGGGGGTGGGGGAGTGATCTCATATAATAGCTACCAAGAAGAGGGGGTTCTGAGTCATAAGCGGTTAGCCCATATACTAGAGAGTGTGAAAACGGGCATTTACTTGGCAGGAAAGGTGAGAGTCCAGCTTCAACAGTGGAAGCATTTCCTTGCCTTCCCTTTTCCCCAGAGGGATATAAAGCCCAAAGAGAAGAGTCATTACTCAATTCTTGGCACAGTAGGAGATTTTATTCTCTTTTTTTCACTTGCTGACAAGGATGCCTGAAAAGCCAAACCCGCTCCCTGGTTGGAGACTGGCAGTGAATCCAGCGATGTGGGCATTTCCCACGTACGCAGCAACCCGTTGTGCTTTCACAGAGGCCTTGAACGCCTTCAGACACCCCTTTTCCTGGCTGCCAGCTGTGCAGGGGAACCTCCCATTCTGCAGGCATGCCAGCCACATGCCCTCCATTCCGAGGGGGTGGGGAAAGGCACTACAGAGTAGCGAGCAACGGCGGCTCTGTGCATGGGATTTGCTGGGAGCGCGGTGAGGGGGTTGAGCCGGTGGATCTGTTGGTTCAGAACACCATGAAGTGGGGGCACAGTGATATGGAACGGTTGCACGTGCTACCTCTGATGTGGGGCTGATGCAGGGAGAGAGAGGTTGAATCTCTCAGTCCCACACCAAGTTCTTTTACTCGTGCATTGCACGGGAGAATGTGGATTTTACCTTTAGGCTCTCTCTAGCCCGCTTACTAAACTATAAGCGCACAAGAAAGTGCAATGAATAGTGGAAACAAGGGTGGGTAGCGGGGAGAGCACAAGAAACTGGGATATAAAATCCAGTGTGGGGTGCAGAACAAAGAGATAATTTCAAAGGCATTGAATTGTCGGTATGTGGCTGGATTTCACACTTTAACCCTCCCAAAGCACATCTGCCCCACTGTTATGTGGATCACAACGCAGTACAGAACAAACTCATTTTTGGTATGAGTACAAAATACATGACGTCCCACCTTTGGCCCAGTTTTTTCCATGTAACCTTCCTTCAAGTAGTTCCTAGAAAGCTTTGGCACCAACTAGAGTTGTCAAAATAAGAAAGCAAAAAAAAGTACAATGTTAGTGCACGTTAGACAGATGGAGACGTGATGTGTTGCAGACACAGGCTTACGTGATGTCATGCCAGAGCCCCCAGTTATCATTTCAATGGGAGCTTATGGAAAAAAATGCCAAGAGAAAGAGTTACCTACAGCCCACATACAGGCTGGGGACAGCTTATGACACTGCTCTCAAGGCATACTAAAGTGGATTTATTTATTCCTATTGTTCTCTCATCTTCCCATAAGAATTTTTCAGTTTCTTTGACCCCGTGTTAGCTTTGTAATACAGGTATGACTACACTGCAAAAAAAACCCAAAACACCCGGCCACTGCGAGTCTCAGAGCGCAGGTCAGCTGACTCGGGCTCGCATTTCGGGGCTAAAAACAGCAGTGTAGACATTCCTGCTCGAGCTCTGAAACTTGGTGAGGGGGGTGGGTCAGAATATTGAGAACTGGAGGCCTTAAGTTAGGTTTATCCATCGTCTGGCACCCAAATAAGTGGCCTCGTTTTCACATGTACAGAGAACTCACTAGCTCCACTGACTTTCATGAGGACTACTGGGTGCTCAGCGCTTTTGAAAATCAGGCCACTTATTTAAATGTCAAACTATAAACTTAGGACCTAACTTGAAGCTCCCAGTTGTTAAATTCTTAGCTAAGAGCTCTCTGAGGCCTAATCCTGCCCCCCATTAAAGTCAACAGCTGGACTCTCTCCGATTTGTCCACATCCCTTCTGTACTGAGGGGACCAAAACTGGACGCAATGCTTCAGGTGTGGTCTCACCAGTGCCAAATAGAGGGGGATAATCACTTCCCTGGATCTGCTGGCAATGCTCCTACTAATACAGACTTGGGAGGTTCTCATCGCAAAGGGTGTTTTGCTGGAGTAAGGGCTGAGTAAAACTCAGGGCCTGGTTTTGTAACCCTTAAACAGGAAGGTAGCCCCAGGGACACCAACAGGCTACTCGCCGGAGTAAGGACTGCAGGATCGGCCCCTAAGAGCTGGTCCCAGATCATTTTCACATCAGGTATGAGCCCCAGACACCCAGTTGTTCTCTCCTTTCCTCACCTGTTCTCAGATCAGTATGACCCAAAAGCTCATACAGAAGAACCACAAGCTCTAATATGCCATCTGCCTTTAAAGGCTGTTCCACATGTCTGTGAACTCCCCTTTTGCTGAGATCTACTCAACAATAATTACCAGGGCCTAGGTTATTTTTAAAAATGCTTGGTGCAGATGAGCTGCTAGCTGTGAGATCTCTGCAGATGAATGCGTGAGGCTCTTTAAAAAGAAAAGTGAGACTCACCAGCAAATGGAGCTGACAGGGCTGATTAAACACTTCTCACCTTCCCCCACTCCCAGCCTCGCATTTAAACAAGTTATTTATGGCAAAGCTTTAAAAATTATATTCCTGTGACATGTAATTCCGTCTAACAAAAGGCTCTGATAAACCAGTTATGTGATCACATAAAAAGCACCCTGGAGAATCCCACAGCCAGGTTGCAGAGATCCTGAATATCTTAATCTCCAGTCTTTAGACTGGCCGCCAGCTGCTTTCAGAAAGTAGTTTTGTCTTGACTGGAAAGAACCTTTATCACTTCAAGATTCTTAACTCTTTGCCGCCAAGCATCATGCTAAGCTGCATCCAGGGTGCAGTATTTTTGTGTGCAAAGTGTCCTTTCTGTTGGACACAGACTTTCCTCGTGCAGCAGGGACGGGCCAGCTTAAACCATTATAAAAGGCTGCAGGTTTCTTAAAAGGTGTAGTTTGTGGTTCTTGTGTCTATATCAAAATATCTACCGTACCTGTCTCCTGAAGCACTTGGCCTGATTCTCATTTCCATTTAGGCCGCTTTACACCACTCTAGCAATGTAAAGGAGCCTGAAAGTGGGTATAAATTCCAGTAATACCCACTGTAAGATGCCTTAGTGTAAATAACAATAAGGTCTGATCGAGTTTTCCACCAGCATAAAAATACGAGAATTTTACCTTCCAAGGTCATACATCCAGGCTTGCAAAATTCTACTCACAACCTAGCCCCACCAGGTAATCATTTCTTTTGATGAGCACGTAAAATCTCATTAGTTTTTCTTCTGTTGTCAATGGTATTGGGAGAGCAACCAGATTTCTAACATTAATCATCATGCGAATGGCCAGGCAAAAAGATTTTGTGTTTAGGGCCTTGTGAATTTTCATGAGAATTTTATATGGCAGTGTACAAACAAATTTAAACAGAATCAAGTACTTAGAGATGGAAAAGTCTTATTAGACAAAGCTTACACTACAGTGACTATAATTATGCGGCATTTGCACTGCGAGTACAGAGTAATTATGCTTTTCAGTACCAATATTACCATTAGTTCATACAATCATTAGTTAGTTAATGCAAGTGGATTCTAAAATACATGTATTAGGTATAAAACCAAGGAGGTAATAGTGCATAACTCAATCATGTTGTTAACTTGGTGATTATATGAATTAGTGGTAATTACACATATCTAAAAGCAAAACCATCATGTAATTAAACTGTAATTGCAGTGTAACTACAATGTAATACACTCATTATATTATAAGGGTAACTCATCCTAATATTATACTATATTTTGTGACTATCCCTGCAAATTGTAGCTAGATCATCAATTCCAGCCTCCAGCAAATTCAAGGCAGACTCTTGCAACAGAAGCTGCATCAAATTGTAAAGCAACACTGCACTTGATCTCAGCCAGAAGGCCAGGTTTTGGTAAGACACTCTCCCCCTCACCGTTTTATTTTAAACTCCTTTTTAAATGCGTAGCTTTGTAGCAAGCAGCCCTTTACAACCACAGAAACAGGATCTGGCACAATACAGAGAATGCAGGAATTAAAATGTACACCCCCACCGCAGTTTCTGTGGCTAGATGCAGTAGCAGGTGCTGCACCTGGACGCTAGTTCCCAGTAAAATCATTTTAACATAATAATTGTAAAGCAGACACTGAAGAATGGAGGGTTCGCCAGGCTTTCCAGCTTGTTAAGGAGATGCTAAAAACGACAAGGAAAAACTCACATCGACATCGCTAGCTCCAGGGAACGCCACTTGTAAATAATGGAACCGTGCTGCACGGATGGCATTGAACCAATCCACTGTTTCCTGATAATGAAAAAGAGAGGCTGGAGTCAGCAAACATACAATCTACACTGTGATCATTGCGGTGATGTTGCTCTGACTTGTCTTCCCCATCATTTTGTCTCCGGGAACAGGGCTCAGCTGCCCTGTGGTTCTGAAGAGGGAGGGCCAGGCAAAAGCAGAGATTTTAAAAATATGCCTAAGCCCCACTGAGTTCAAAGGGTGCCTAAGGGCTTTGCCGAAGAGGGATGGACTTAAGCACGTGCCCCAAGTTAAGCACGTACTCAAGTGCTTTGCTGAATTGCAGCCTAAAGATACAAACAAAATTAAATCAAAATCTAGAATGTAATTCAGTTTCCATGGCTGAATTGCACTACCCAGTATTTCTCACATTCGTCTCAATGGTGTTCTTTGAACACTGTATTCTATTTCAAAAGAAGTTAGTTTTGCTCCTTTTGTATTCCCCCCCCCCCCTTCATTAGCCAGCAGTGATCAGCTTGAAAGACTTGGTAACATTCTGCAGCACAGCGTTCATATTCTATTGGAAACAGTGGAATGACAACTAACCCTTTGAGTACAGGACGAAATATACATGCAGGTGGCAATGGCCACACCTACACTATGCAGTAATCGTTTTCATTAACACATGGGGTGTAGTCAGCAATTACTTCTACAACTGCTTAGCTCAGGACAGGCCATGGGGAGACCCTGTGTGGCAACCACAAGCAACACATGTTCTTCTAGTCAGACTGGAGGCTACAGTCAGAGAACTAACAGAAAACCCCTCTATGTTCACTACAACAGAGACCTGTCTCTTCTCTCCTACATGGGATTGTTATGACGAGGATTGGACAATACAGAACACACAGTATCACAGTGTACAGCTGCCATTTCATTGTACATATGTCTGAAGTCCCTGCACCAAAGCTTACCACAAAGGATTCTTACACAACATTTCATCTGACAGACTGCATTTTATTAGCGCTTTGGTAACATGCAGCAGTCTCCAGATGCCACAACATAAAACAGTCACTGCAGAACTGGGAAGTTCTCAAAACAAAACAAACACAGTTCTATTAGGGTTGAGAAAAAAACTTGTACCGCATGAGTCATAATCCATAGCTCCCAGCCTGCAGCTCAACACCTCAGAGGTCTGATCTCTATCCAGGTAAAATAAGTCAAGCTGGGCCTGGGATTGACTAGGATGTGTGGTTTCCAGAAGAAAGCCCAGGTGCTGCAGGAAGTGAGGTTGGTGATTCAGAAGGTGCATTTATTATTATTTATAATTTGTATTACCATAACACCAAAGAGTACCTGGATACCTGGACCAGGACCCGATTGTGCTAGGCACTGTACAAACACAACAAAAAAGACAGTCCATGTCCCAAAGAGCTTACAATCTAAGGCCTGGTCTACACTACGGGATTAATTCGGATTTAGCAGCGTTAATCCGAATTAACCCTTCACCCGTCCACACTACAGAGCCAGTTAATTCGAATTAAAGGGCCCTTTAAATCGATTTCTGTACTCCACCTCGACGAACGGAGTAGAGCCTAAATCGATTTTGTTAATTCGAATTAGGGTTAGTGTGGCCGCACACCACCGAATTACTGTGTTTAAATTAATGGGGTAGTGTGGCCGCACACCACCGAATTAATGTGGTTAAAAACCGAATTAAGGTGCTTAGTGTGGCCGCGCACAATCGAATTTATACAACCTGTTTCCCAAATTCGAATTATCTAAATTCGGATTAATCCTGTAGTGTAGACATACCCTAAGTGTAAGACAACAGGTGGACATAGACAGAGGGGGAAATACAAGGAAACAATGAGACAATATTGGTCAAGCCTGACAGCCAATGGTCTCAGCACACCTGCAGCCTGTGGTAAAATTTATTATAGGCATCACAGCAAAGGAGAGTTTTAATGAGGGAGCTCTGTGGCTATTTACGGTGAGTTCATCCCAAGCGTGAGTGGCCGTATGGGAGAATGCTTGCTTGAAAACATAACAAGTGAGCAACGTAGGCTGGCATCACTGGCTGATAGAAAGTGGGAGTCAACATTTCAATAGTGAATGAGAGACTATAGGTAGGTTCCAATTCAGCAAAGGACTTAACCATGTGCTTGAGTCTCATTGAGGCCAATGGGGCTTAAGCACATATTTTAAATTCTTTGCTGAATTTGGGCCTATTTTAGGGTTTTATACTGCCACCCATTGCCGTGATTTCTGACCACCTTCCATGTAAAAATCTATAGTAATAGTAAAGTCCTTAATGGACTTCCTGGAGTCTCTAGTACTTTTTCCTTTTTGGAGTAAATTCTCCCTTTGTGTTATGTCTTTAATTATTTAGATTGTACTAATTTCCCTTTTTCCCCCCCAGGCTGATTTGTGGATTTGTTTCTGGAGAGATTTCCAGATCTTGTGCTGTTGGACTTTTTTTTAAGTTTCATTCAGGACATTTTAAATGAATTTAAAAGTATATTACCTGCATCAGTGCACTTTCAACTACTGCATTACAATTCAAAGGTATGGGACAATGGAAGGTGTTCTGGAAGGGATGTCTGACACATGTCTGCATCTCAATAATCATTAGTGTGGAGGAAGATTTTGAAATAACTGCATGTTATTAATACATGTGAAGACTTCACTAACTCACAAGTCTGGAACACTTTAAGTAAGCGAGACTTGAACCTACAATAAACATCTCAAACTCTTTCAAGTGAGGTTGTTTTAGCAGAGGAGAGAATAAATCAAACCTGAAGCCAACTTCTAGGGATGTTAAACTTTTCTATGCTTCAGAGCCAAGATTTTAAAGAGCAGCTAGTGATTTTGAAGGCTTCCATTGTTGGATGTCCAACCTGAGACACCGTAAAGGGGCCTGATTTTTCAGAACATGATGTGCCCTCGAAAACTCACGGGTCTTTTAAGTGTCTCAAGTTCGGCAAAAATAGTAGCACTCAAAATTGCTAGGCATTTTGGAAAGTCTTGGCCAAAGGTCTGAGATTTTACTTAGTCGTCTTTTACTCTTTTATCTGGAGTAACTAAACAGACCCAGCCCTCACCATACCACCAGAAAGAGGAAGAGCAGAAGGCAGTGGAATCTGATGTTAGTGATGAGCAAATTGAGTTAGAATTATGGGAGGGGGGAGGTTTTTTATCAAAATGCAGATGAATAAATACAATGCCACCAAATGGATCAGTAGTTTGCTTGGGATCTCAGGTTGAAGGGTTGCCTCCCTGACCCTTATAATGTGTTATAGTGTTTTATGACATCTTTCCTCCTTACATGGGGGCAGGTCCCCAGCTAGGGTAAATTGTCATTGCTCCATTGACTTGTTTCGTATCTTATTAAACAGCTATCCCAACATAAGGAGGGCAATGGTAAAATCAAGTTTATTCTAGCAAGTCAGAAAAAAAATCTACAGGTGAGTATGGCAAGACAGGAAGATCAACCATCAGGAATTGAAATTAAATTATAAATATAAGGGAAATAATCTCAAAATAACATATCAACCAGAAAAACACGTAAAATTCCTTGCCTATTTTATGACTAAAAGGATGTCTTTTCAACAGCCTCTGAAGAAAAGAGACTCATTTATCGCTTTATGCCTCTAATACCTCAGCAAGCGGAAACGAAGCTATTGACTGTTACATTTGACTTTGGTGGGGTCTCAGCTCTTTGCCACCTCACTTGTGAAGGAGAAAAAGAGCAACTGCCAACGCAGACTCCCACTCCAGATTCTTGACTCTAAGCAACCACATTGTGCCTCCAGCTCCTGACTTGAACCTGAGCATCCATATATTGTGGGCCCAGCCTCAGCTTCATGAGCCCAGGGAAACCTACAACCTTCCAATGTGCCTTCCTACCTGACAGTCCCCGGAATAGCTGGCTCTCAAGCAACAGCTGCTTAAGATATCTGCATCCCCAGTTGTATTAGAGATGCTATGTTGACACCTCTTTCAGTTCTATTGGACCCAGCACAGTCCAGTAACCAAACATTTCAGAACCTTACCAAAGCTCGGTGTATGGCTTCGAAACAGGGGCAGCTTTGGGGAGAGGGGCTCCCCCAACTCATCTCTTCTCTAGCCTGGTAGTAACCCAGCAGCTTGAGGCTTTTCGCCTTCCAAGCAGGGTGTCCTACAGGAGACTTCCTGTAGAGAGGAGCTCAGGAAACCAATTCAGTAGCTAAACCCTGAACACTCCAGTAGCCATATGTAAATGGTGCTGTGTGTGAATGGTCTGGGCTAGTGCCAATGTCACTCAACTCAATTACTCGAATAGGTTTTAATGGTACAATAGACTCAGGAGATTGATTGTTAAAAGTGATCAATTCCCACTCCTCAGCCTTTCCTACCCAAGCAGCGTGCATATTTCAAACAAGACTTTGTCCTTCCACAGCACCTTCCATCTGAGGCGCCAAACCCACTTTACAAACATTAATAAATTAAGCCTCACATGTGTGAGACAAGTAGGCATCTACCGGGGCCATGTCTGCATGAGAGAGCTGAACCAGTTTAATTTAAATCTGTTTTGAAACCAATATAGTTAAATCAGTGCAAACTCCTGTGTGCATGCTCATACTTGTGGCACCTTAGAGACTAACAAATTTATTTGAGCATAAGCTTTTGTGGGTTAAAACCCACTTCATCGGATGCATGCAGTGGAAAATACAGTAGGAAGATACACAGAGAACATGAAAAAATGGGTGTTGCCATACCAACTGTACCGAAAGTAATCAATTAAGGTGAGCTATTAGGTGAGCTATTATCAGCAGGAGAAAAAAAACGTTTGTAGTGATAATCAGGGTGGCCCATTTCCAACACTTGACAAGAAGGTGTGAGTAACAGTAGGGGGAAAAATTAGCATGGGGAAACAGTTTTTACTTTGTGTAATGACCCATCCACTCCCAGCCTTTATTCAAGCCTATTTCAGTTTAACTTAAACCTGTTCCTAGTAGACTAACTAAACAACACAAAAAACCAAACCAATACAAAAAATGCCACCCTTATACCGGAATAAGAAT